GAAGGGTGCAGGAGCTGGGGGGATCTTGGGGGCGGGGGAGGTTTTGGGGGGCTGAGGAAGGCACCAGTTCAGATCCCATCGTCGGGCCCCAGTTGCCCCAGTCCAGGCTCTGGGGCACCCCCGTTTTGCCCAATGTCAGGGATGGGGGTTGGGGTCCGGGGGGTTCCTGTGCCCCCCCTAACCCCCCTCACTTGCCCTCCCCCGCAGCTTTACGGTTCTGCCCCGTAAGTACCTGCTCCCCCTGGGACTGGGGGTGCTCGGGGGTCCCCTTTACCCCTCCTCTGTCCCCTCCCTGATGGATGGGGGCTGGGGGAGGGGGGACCCCCAGTCTCCCAGCCAGGATCTGGGGTTTGGGGGTCCCAACCCCCCCAGAGGGGTTTGGGGGTTCCCTTCCTCCCCTTTGACCCCTGCCTCGTCCCCGCAGTACCGAGAGGAGGCTGCCCTGAGGAGGGGTCCCCCCGGGGCGGTGCCCCCCGCCCGGAGCCTGCGGGGACCCCTCCGGCCCCCCGACACCGGCGCTGCTGATGCTGCACGGGCACCCCGCCGTGGGGGCACCCCGCCGTGGGGGCACCCACCATGGAGGCACCCCGCCGTGGGGGCACCCCGCCGTGGGGGCACCCACCATGGAGGCACCCCGCCGTGGGGGCACCCCGCCGTGGGGGCGCCCCAAACCCCCGAGCACAGGGGCTGCGAGCACCTCGGAAACCCTCCCGGAACTGGGGGTGCGGGGAGCCCCCAAACCCCCCCGGGTCACCACAGTGGAGGGGGATCTCCAGAGCCCCCAGAAATGGGGGTGCAGGGACCCCCCAAAAGTCCCCGGGGCACCACGAGGCTGCGGGACCTCACTGGCCTCTCCACAGAGGGGGACGCAGGGACCCCACAACCCCCCAATGGTGTGGGGACCCCCTGAACCCCGCGGGGACCCCAGACCCCCCCTGGCACTGGGGAGCTTGCAGGGCCGTGTCCCCCTGTCCCCCCGAGTGGGGATGGAGGGACCCCCGCAGCCTCCAGGGGACCCCCAGAACTGCAGGGACCTCCCCAGCGTCCCGGGGGACCCTGCAGCGTCCCGGGGGACCCCACAGCGTCCTGGGGAACCCCACAATGTCCCGGGGGACCCCACAGCGTCCTGGGGAACCCCACAGCGTCCCGGGGGACCCTGCAGCGTCCTGGGGGACCCTGCAGCGTCCTGGGGAACCCCACAATGTCCCGGGGGACCCCACAGCGTCCCGGGGGACCCTGCAGCGTCCCGGGGGACCCCACGGGCCTGTGGCCTCCCGGTCTGGGGGAACCCCGGACTCGCTGTGTCCAGGGGTGAATAAACGCTTGGAGCATCGGAGCCTGGCTTGTCCCTGTCCCCGCTCCTGTCCCCGGGCTGTCCCCGATCCTGTCCCGCTTCTGTCCCGCTCCTGTCCCCAGGCTGGCCCCGGGCTGTCCCCGCTCCTGTCCCGCTCCTGTCCCGGTCCTGTCCCCAGGCTGTCCCCAGGCTGGCCCCGCTCCTGTCCCCGGGCTGTCCCCGATCCTGTCCCGCTTCTGTCCCGGTCCTGTCCCCAGGCTGTCCCCAGGCTGTCCCCGCTCCTGTCCCCGCTCCTGTCCCGCTCCTGTCCCCGGGCTGTCCCCAGGCTGGTCCCGCTCCTGTCCCCGCTCCTGTCCCGCTCCTGTCCCGCTCCTGTCCCCTGTCCCTGCCTTTGTCCCCGCCCCTCGCCCTGTCCCGTCCTTGGCCCTGTCCATGGTCCTGTCCCCCGGCCTGGCCCAGGCGTGTCCCTGTCCCTGCCGGTGGCACGGGGACCGGGGCACACACGTGGCACCAGGAGGGCACATGCCGTGACACAGCGTGGCACACACGGCACGGGTGGCACACACGGCACGGGTGGCACATGCTGTCACACACA